CATCGTCTGTCTTGTCGGAAGTTGGAGCATATACTTGGATTATATTTAACTTTCGTTGGATCATTGTTAAAGAAACCATAACTACTCTATCTGAGATAGGACTGAAAGAAGTGACTGATTGACATAAGTTCTTATCAACAATGATTGCTACTCCATTTCGATGGTTTGGATCATTATTTCCCGAATAGTATATTTTGGAATTTAAAATCTGTTGTTCACCCGAGTCTGGCCATCTGGTTTCACTTAGTCCCAATATTTTGACAGACATGCGTTGCATTTCTTGTATGACGTTGTGTATCTTTCCGGCTTCATAAATTGTTTTAATATTCCAGGTAGCGATCTTTGCACCTTTATTCTTTTTGTAGGGTTTTCGTAGATTAACGACCGGGGGAGCCCTACAGTCTTTTGGTTGTCTACCCCTGCCGGATCTTGACGACCGAAAATCATGATCAGTAACTTGTTGTAACCATCTTGTACTAGCCATAATGATTAACTAGGGATATCCATTAAGGATCTTTAATGTAGTGGTTTCCCCTTGCCTTCTACATCCTTACGCCGTTGACCTATTTTTTCGGTTCGTCCGCCTTTAGGGTCAGTTTCCCAACCCCAGGACAAAAGGGTGCCCTTATACCATTATTAACTCCCATATACATGTGGGTGCCCTTATTAACTCCCATATACATGTAATCCTCCACCTCTTCAATTTCCAGAATTTCTCTGTCTTATGCACTTTCCATATTTAGCTTTCAGCTTTTCTTTTGCTTATTCTTCAGCTCCATGTACGTATTTTGTTATATTTATATTTATCTGTAATCCCATAACTCCTGCGGCCTCTAGAAGATTCTTAGCTATGTTTTCTAATTATTTTCTACTCCCAGTCAAAAGTACATTATCAGCATAGACTAGAAACTGGTGACTCTTATTCAATATTGTTCCCGCTCTATTCATATTGCTGTCTTTAATTATCTTTTCAATAGACAAATTAAACAGCGTGGTGGATAAAGGATCCCCTTGTCTTACACCTTTCTGAACTCTAAAGTATTTTCTATTCTTTCCATTAATATTAACTGGACTTGTAGTGTTCTGGAGCGTCATATATATCAGTCTGATTATATTAGATATGATTTTGAACTTCTTTAGTGCCTTCATGAATTTTGATCTACCTACATTGTCATAAGCACTCTTAAAATCCACGAAGAGAAGGTGTGTCGGTGTGTCGTATTCATATGCACTAGAAAGAACTTTTATCAGCATAAATACATGGACACTAGTTGATCGATTTTTTCTAAAACTAGTTTGATAGTCGCCCAATATAATTTCTGTATAGTCTTATATTTCTCTTTTTAGTATGGTTGCCAGCACTTTGTATGTGACGTCCAGGAATGCTATTCCTATATAGTTATAACAACTTGACAGGTCTTTCTTTTTATGTATGCACCACTCTTTGGGTATTATTTAGTTTTCCCAGATATGACATATTAGTTTGTAGATTTTTTCTTTCAGGTAGTTTCCTCCATATTTTAATTTTTCCGATGCTATCCCGCTTTCTCCAGTACTTTTATTGTTTTCATCGCAGTTAAAACTTCTTCAACTTCATCCTTAGTTGGTCTTGCAATATATATTTCATCCATTGGTATTGACTCTCGTTCATTGTCGTTTTCCTTCTCTATTTCACCGTTCAGGAGTTCTTTGAAATATTCTTTCTATCTCTCTAATTGTCGTTGTTCATTTCCTATCAGATTACTTTCTTTGTCTTTATTGTGCGTCGTTTTTGAATTGTAAGCTCTGCTTATTTCTTTAATAGCTGTTTAAAAATATTTTATATCCTTCCTTTGGTATTTTTCTTTTATATTTTGAAATTAACTCTCCATAAGCTATCTTTTTTTCCTTCGGCAAATTTTCTGTACTTATTTTCTTTGCCCATTATATCCTTCTTTATCATTATCATTTTTTGTTTGCAACATCTTTGTTCCAAGCATACCATCTTGTTTAACTATTTTTTCTTCTTTTTCCTTATACTCTTTGTTATATTTCGGTATAAATATACTCGTACACATATACAATCAAATGAATATGTTTTCGAATTTCAAAAATATTAAAATTTCATTTTTTTAGGGGAATGGTTACATAAACTTAATGAATATGGAAACAGATTTGAAAGCCTTGAAAATATAAAAGTTGACGACTCGCTAAGAGTGCCGTATGGAAAGAATTGTGATATTTTGGGATATTATGGAAACTACATGAAAACTGAGACTGATTAAATAGTTTTTTTTTATCTTTTAGTGTTTGTATTGTTAAACAAGTAATACTATTAATTTCATTAAATGTATTTTAAATCATTGAGTTATGTTTTTAATCAACTTTTTTAGTATACTTTAGAAGTAATTTACAATAGTTTAAAAACAAAATTAATCACCAAATACCAAAGTTACACAAAATACAGCAACAGATTCGACCATAATAATCTCAAAAGAACAGCAAAAAAGAGTGGCCATGATGGTAGACTGATAGAGATTACATGAGGTAATTACAAAAATAGTAAATGACGCAATCAAACCTGTAAAAATATCACTGAACCAAGATACGAAACTAGGGGACACCTGATGATAGGTTTCTGAAACTCAAACGGCATAAGAACAAACGCAAACGTGCTGGACGTACTTATAAACATATATGAAATACATTTCACAGCATTACAAGAAGCTAAACTAACTCATACCGTGAACATTTTTCGGAAACAAGTTTCCAAAATACTCCATTTTCAGAAAAGACACTAAACACTATAACAGCAACAACAATAAAAGTCCAGATAAGACAAGGATAAATAAGGATCACTACAGCTTATGTAAGGCCAATAGATCCTTTAAACGAGAATGACCTGGATGCGTTCCTGAACATAGAAGCCCCGTTTATAATAATATGAGATCTAAACGCCAGATTCTCTAACTGGAACGATTTAGCTACAAATAGAAATAGAAGCATAATAAATAATTACATAGTGAACAACAAAAACACTATGGCATTTGGGGCTATCAAACCAACCCACTTTTTACAAAATCACTAACGTGGCTCATTCCAAATTATGGAAACAAAAGGATGGATTCCTCATGTAATTGTCATACTGAAGCCAGGTAAGAACAACAAATTTTCGCAAAATTACAGATCGATTAGATTGTTTCCAGAAGTCACTAAGATATTAGAGCGAATCATACAAATCAGACTCCAATCAGAGACAGACAGGTTAGGATTATTCCTAGAAGCATAATTCGAATTCAAAGCTCAACATTTTAGCGAACTACAAGTACTCAGACTAACAGAATATATATCAGAATATATATCAATAACACGCAATATTCAGAAACAGCCTTCCTAGATGTAATTTTTAGCAAATTGCTGGTGACTCTCCTCTCTCTGAGAGCATGTTGTCTCAAAAAACGATCATCAATTTAATTTGTGCAATGTTTTCGCCCTTGCCATGGTCTTCGATGGTACAACCCTGTTTTATTATATTGCCTCACTTTGAGACTGATTCTGAAATGAGGTCTTCTTAACAAACGTGCAACGTATCGCATTGAAGATCCTTCATCAAGGAGAGTCGATGCTCGCACTGCTTTCTCCATTGACAATTTCTTTAGAGGTTCATTTTTTTATTTGATTTTTATGCAAATGAACTTCCAAACATGCATGTGATAAAAAATATCACAATAAAAAGCTTGTTTCTCACAAGCATTTTGCTTTAATCGGCACTTTTTATGAAGAGTTTAACTCACTTTTAGTCTAAAACACAGTTTAATACAAATTATTGTTAAAACAAGACTATTATTAACTTACATAACAACTGTCACTGACAAACAAGGTCCATAGGTAACATGTCGTACAGTAAATTATCAATAATAGTACATTGTTTACCGGGAAGGAAAAGCTTAACATTCCTGGACGACTGTGAAGATTGCTAAGTCGAGGCGCAAGCCGAGACTTAGCAACACAGAGTCCAGGAATGTGGCTTTTCCTACGAGGTAAACATACTATTTTTCCGCAAATCGTTTAAAATTCGACAGATATTGATTGATTAAAAAAAAACGCGATAATTTTATTCCCAAATAAATGGTGCTTTGAAATTCCTAATAAAATTACTTGGGTTACTATGGAAACGTATTTAGGTTGAATTGTCAAACTTGACGCTTATAAATTTAATTGCTGGTGTTCTAAAATGTTGTACAAAATGTTTCTCATAGTTCTAAGAGTGTTCCTCCAATGTTCAATAATTGTACTAACTGTCAAATTACTGTAAATATAACAAATTGATCTTAAAAATGTATTCAGCAATGACTTGATGTTTTCAAAATATAAATTAATTCCTTATAAGCAATGTGTTTTCTATCATGTATGTAGAACATAACAACTGTACGGACATATCATTTCCTTACAGCAAGGAAGTCCTGACTTTTTCTTCAAGAAATTTTGACAGGAATGTCAAAATTTCCTGGCGATTTGCGGAAAATAAAGATTATTGAAAAAAATATGAGTAGTGCGTTAATTTTGTCCAGGAGTTTATTTAAAATCAGTAAGTTTTGTTCAACTTCCAGGATAACTGGTAGTGGTAGCATATTTTAGAATAATTGGCTCTATTTTCATAAATTATATAGATGCACCTAATTCGAACCCACAAAGGATCACTTACACCCACAATCTTGTCTTCTGCTCAATCAGTTTATTGAGAGAATGTTTGCAGTCTCAAAACAAAACGATTTATTGATAAATATAAAAAACAAGTCAAAGTTTGGATAAATATTTTGATTAACACATGTAACTAATTAAAATGACATAAACAGTAACGTATAAATATTAATTCAAAATTTTTACGACCGCCAATTCCGTTGGATATGATAAATACTCAAAACGTGGCAAATAAATTAAAGAAACACATAAAACATATTTTATTATACAATAACACAATATAAAAGATTTGAAAAGCTTTCAGATTTTACAGTTTAAATTTTGAACGTTGACTCAATACTCCTATACTTTTTATATTAGTATTTCATAATTTGAAAAAATACTATGCCTTCAAAAGCATTTTTTAAAACAGACCGCCAAGATGTGTGGAAACATTTTGGCAAAGATGAGGAGAGTGTTAATGCAGAAGTAAATATTATAAAGAAATGGCTGAAAACGCAAAAACATTTTCCTGAAACACCAAGTAAGTAAATTTAAAAACTTAATCTATTATAATATATATATCTTTGATACAGTTTGTCCCAAACCCTTTTTTCAGTGCGTCACTAATTTTGACGTCATATAGGATTTTAAGAATGTCGAGAATTATTGCATGACATTTTAGTTAAATCTGGCAGTTGCAGGATCGTAATCGGCTAAACGTGAAAAGGTTATTTTTTTTAATGCATAGCAGTTTGTCATAATTCTATTCTATTCTGTTCTATTTTATACATTCCATGGAAAGTGCTTAATTAGCTAAGATTTGTTTATGGATTTATTATTATTTATTACAAACACTAGGGAATTGGAAGGTTTGTTTATTTAAAATAACGCTTCCTCCTAGAATCTTTTAAGAGTTGACTGCAAGGTAAAAAAAATTACTGACAATTGCAAGGCATCAAAGTAAACATTCCTGCGATAAAATAATATCGATTTAAATCAGTCATATTTGGATAAGTAATTTTCTGATAAGTTTGTGTGGCAGCCAATAGTTTAATTTTGTGAAGAGTTGTCATTAAATAGTGGAAATAGTTTAAATAGTGAAGCAGTTGATTTTTGAGTTATTCTACCAGATTTGGTGTGCAAATGATAGAAGGTTATAAAGTTTAGTTAAAAAAACAATATAAATAGTTTAAATAGTGAAGCAGTTGATTCTTGAGTTAATCTACCAGTTCCGATATCCAGATGAAATCGTGTTAATGGAGTTTAGTTAAAAAACAAGATACAGAATGTAACTTTAGCTTCTTTTTTATGTATAAAAAAAATGAATATTATATTTCAAACAATCTATAATCCCATTCAGAATCTGATTCTTGAAATTCAATGATTACACTAGATATGTGGCTGGTATCAATTATATCCTACATTTCAAGAAAATGTCGTGGTTCTAAAAAGAACCGTTTTAATACATATAAATATCCATAAGGGCGAGCGCCCACCAAAGTGGCGTGGCAGTGGCAAGTAGCAAGTAGCACGCGTCTAGCATAATGTAACCAATGAAAACGAATGATTCAGTTTACACCAAAATGACAGTGACGTCATTCATTCTAATCATTCGTTTGGATTGGTTACATTATGCTAGACGCGTGCTACTTGCTACTTGCCACTGCCACGCCACTTTGGTGGGCGCTCGCCCTAAAGGTATTAGTTTAAGATATTTCCTCAATATCATTCCGGAATTCACAATCTGATTCGCGAGCGACAGAAACTGAAATAAAGATAACTCAGCCTCATTTTCTAATTGAAACTAATTTAATAATTTTAATATTAGTCTTTTTTCATTCTCGGTATATCTCGGAATATTTAAAATATTTTTATGACAATAAATACAGAATTTAATTTTCACTGTAGTTAAAATGTCTAAAAATACTAACCTGGAATGGCAATTATCATTTTATCAGTTATTGTGAAAGTACTGTCACTGTCATTATCAAGATCATCTGTGTCAAATTATATTTATATGCATAATTGATTGGATATCTATTTAGCATATTCTAAACTCCAACCAATTATACGTTCGTAAGTAGAATTCGCTTTAATATGCGAATACCCGTAAACGATACCTAATTTTCTAATTTCTATGTATAATAATAAGCGACTCACGTTTTTTTCTGTCACTTCTAGCTTAATGCGTTAGAGAGAATTCGAACAACTATGACGCACTGAAAAAAGGGTTTGGGACGGACCGTACATGACTTTTATTCAATAATTATGATTTTTAAAGTTCTCGATATGCATCAAATTAGCATTTAGTTGTCTAATATTTAATTTAATGTAAAATATTACTAAACATAAACAAGATTGGATGCTTTCATGGCCAGAGTCAGAATAATCAAGTAATTATCATTAGCGTTTGATGTCAATATAATATATATCGCAGAGTAGACTAGGCAGGTCGAACATACAAAAGACTTTGAAAATAATAAATTTTGCTTTTATTTTAGCTGATGTTATGATTCAGTATATTTTGACAATATGTCACTTCAGCATAGAAAGAACGAAGCAGTGTTTGGAAATGTATTATGCTATTAGAACAGTTATGCCGCAATATTTCAAACAAACTAATCCGACATCTTACCACATGACGGAAACCAATAACCTATTGTAAGTAGTCAGTAATGGTCTTTATATTTTTTTCTTAGATCGTCCGATGACGTAAAATATACAGGGTGATTAATTAAGATTGCCCAATGTCTCAGTTGTAGATTATAGACCTCAAAATATGATGAATCTGTCCAACAGGCCTAATACAAATATTGCTAGTTTCAGAGATATCGGGTGTGGAATAGCGACGACGAAATCCATTGATAAACATTACTTTTGATCTTATTCAGCTTAGAATTAGTTTGACACCACTCATTTTGCCACAAACACAACACTTTATTCTTAAAATAAGCTTTTAAGTCACTGAAAACACACTTGTCTATCATCATCATCATTAGTGGTGCTACAGCTCTAGTTGAGCCTTGACCTTCCCCAGTCTATTTCGCCAGTCGTTTCTGTTCATCGCCAACCGTTGCCAATTTGCCGCGCCGATTTTCCTTGCGTCCTCGTCCACACCGTCCCTCCATCTCAGTCGTGGTCTGCCTCTACTCCTATTTCCCACTGGGACCGATAATAGAGTTCGTCTGGGTGGGTAATTTTCATTTGCTCTTGACACATGTCCAGCCCATCTAAGCCTACCTATTTTTATGAAGGATATTACATCTCTACCATTTACTATTTTTTTATACTTCTCACACACTTGTCTATAGGCTCCGAATAATCGCATCGTCGTGCAGTCGCATGAGCTTCTTCGTTTCCCATTATCCCGACGTGTGAGGGTACCCACAAAAATTGAACTCTTTTTCCATGTTGATGAGCTGGTATTTTAGTAATTTTTCAAAAGGGTGTTTCGGAAACATGTGTTTTAATGATTTTAGAGAGCTAAGGGAATTTGTTATGATCAGGGCTTTTGTGAAGGTTAGCTTGTTAAAAAATTTCACCGCACGATATTTAGCGTAGAGCTTAGCTGAATATGTGCTACATACTGGGGAAAGACGATTTTTAAACCCATCATATTGACATATTGTTATAAACGAAACCAGTGTAGTTGTAAATACATTTTTTGTAAAAAAATTCAAATTTTTATGTCTTTGGATTTTTATTCGTTGGGAATAGAATAATTAGTATTAAAATATGATAAAAAGAAAATAAAAAAAATTGTTAAATAATACAAAATGAAGAATTAACACAAATATTACAAAATAATCCAAAACTTAGTATAAAATTAATTACTATAAACACTAATAATAATAAATTAAATAAAAAATAAATAATTTAATACTAATAAATGTTCAGGTGTGTAACAGATGTTCAAATTGCTTGCCATCTTGTGCAATACAACAAGCGATTCTATCTTCGAATGATTTACTTACATTATTTAACATAGCAGGAGTTATTGAGGCAAACGCGTTTTTAATTCTTAATTTCATGTCATCTCTAGTAGTAAGAGGTGTAGCATAATATTTTTAATATAACATCACTTAAAAAAATCCATCACGGTTAGTCCTGGTGACCCAGGGAGCCAGTTATATGAACCACCTCTACCTATCCATCTGTTTGTAAATTTTTTGATAAGGTAGTTCCTAACATTGAGTGAGAAATGAGCAGGAGCTCCGTCCAACTGGAGCCACATTTTTGTTCTTACACTAAGTGGAAGGTTCTCAAGCAGTGTCCAAAAATTTTGTTTTAAAAAATTTAGGAAATTTGTCCCAGTTTGTCCCATTTGTTAAGATGTCCGTCAAAAAAATACGGAACCAAAAAAAAGTACTCGCCCATAATGCCGCCCCAAACATTAACACTCCATCGGTGTTGGTTATCAACAGTACGAAATAAATGTTTATTTTCTGTGCCATAATAATAAAAATTATGTCTATTTACTAGACCAGTATTACGAAAAGTCGATTCGTCTGTAAATAATACATTTCTAAAAAAATCAGGATCTTTTCCAACTTTATCTAAAGTCCATAAACAAAAATTTAAACGGTTACCGTAATCTTGTTCTGTCAAATGCTGGTGAAGTTGAATGTGATACGTATGAAAGTGGTTGGTCATAAGTATTCTACATAAACTAGTTTGACTGAATTCTAATTCACCCGAAATTTTTCTTGTACTAATATTTGGGTTTTCCGAAACAAAAAGCAGGACAACAATCGTAAAATAGTTTCGAAACACAATTCACACAACACAAATCAAATATTTGCTGCCTTTCTTTATTTTATTCGGATTTACTCTGTGGGAGTACTAGAAGCACAATTCGCTAAGGATTTCTGCTAAGTTGTAAAAGACATGTCGTGAAATGCAAATTTTAGATTTCCCTCTCTTTTAACATCTTTTATCAACGTCTGTTTGCCTTGCAATTTTTAAAAGGCTCAGATTATAAAGCAGAAATCTGAATTGTGTTTCGAAACTATTTTACGATTGTTGTAATTAGATGTCGCTACTGCGTCCGTATTAAAGCCATGTTATTGTTGCTTCTTAAAAGGCAGAAAATATTGATTTTTCACGTTGAGGACTCCTATGAATAGCTATGAATAGCTCTTCTGACGAGACCTATTAGGTCGAAATCGTATCAAGAGATACATAGGATTTAGTTGCGTGAAATCAAATATTTGCTGCCTTTCTTCATTCAAAAAGCAGGACATTAAAGTTCGTTAACGTTGTGACCAATAACTGGTTTATTTTTGTTTATCTTTTCGTATGCAACGTTACCAGTAGCACGAAATCTATTAAGCAATCTCTCAAAAACTTCCTTGCCTCATATTAGACATTGAATAATCCAAAATTGAACACCCTGTATTTAAATGTTTAATAATCAATAAAAGAATAAATTTAACCATTACCCAACTATTTCGCTGTAAGAGAAAATTCGTTATAATTACTTAAATAAGTCGAGAATGAGTCTTCTTAAAAAAATTTTTTTGCTTATAATGTAATAAGTTGTGGTTTATTTTGTATTATTTGTTTTATTAAAATTCTGTATAATTGGTTGTGCATCAGCAAGTAAAAGTATAAAGTGTACACATTTGTTTACAACTACATTGGTATTGTTCTGAAGCTATTTTCTTGTGGCATTGTAAATTAATTACTATTAAACTGGGAATAAGCCACAATTAAAGATAAAAATACGTTTATTGACGTTTCAATTTCTACTTCGGAAATCGTTCTCAAAATACAAACAGTAAATTAAACAAATTTTGTTTTTTGTTACATAGTGAACAATTCTTCTAATAATTTAATTTTATCTGACTCATTTATATTGACAATTCAGACATACATTATGCATTTTAAAGTAGATGACTTTAAAATGATATTGCCAATATTGTTGAGTTGCGCTCCTGGGACGACTTTACTTATAAGATAGTTCATTCGATTACATGAAATCAACTTTAACTTGAGAATTTATGTCAGAAAAAAATCATAGCATGTACAAACACATGACATGATGACAGTAAAATTTCCCTGTTAGTGATTCCATAGTAAATTATGAGGGAAAACCAGGAAAAAACCTCATAATACTATCCCGACATTGTAAGTATTTGTTCGTGAATTTAGTTTACCTTCAACAAACATCAAAATTCTGATTTTATATGTTACGTTATTTAAAAAACATAAATGATGTATCCTCTGTATGTTACTGACTTACTAATAATGGTATTTTCTTATTAATAACTTCCTCTTTTAATATTGGTAACCAGATCCTACTACATTCTGCCGAGGAATTTGCGACACAATTGGCCTCATTTAGCATAATTAGAGCCGCTTCTTTGATTTTTCTTTTTTTACCATCCGTTTCTTTTAGGACTACATTTGAATTATTCCATTGAACCCTATGTTCATTATCCCATGCGTGTTTACAGATTTGAGATCTATCAAATTCTTTATTTTTAATATAAGATTGATGTTCACTTATTCTAACATTTAATGGCCTTGATGATTCACCTAAATAAAACTGATCGCATTCACAAGGTATTTTATAAATGCAATTCTTTGTCCTTTCTTGTTCATTGTTAGGTTTGGTTTTGGACAAAATAGATCTCAACGTGTTTGTTGTTTTGAATGTTGTTGAAATGTTGAATTTATTTCCTATCCTTTTAAGTTTTTCTGATAGTCCTTTTATGTACGGTATTGTTATTTTCCTCATATTATTCCTTGTGTATGCTGTAGGATCTCGTTCTAAGTTGTTTTGTTCTATTCGATCGATTGTTGAAAATTCCTTATTTATAAACGATAAAGGATAATCATTTTTTAATAAAACAGATGTTAACAAATGTTTCTCTTCCAAGAACGAATTTTCATTAGAACAAGTAATTTTGGCTCTATCGTATAAGGATTTAATTATTCCCTTTTTTACATTAATATTGTGATTTGATTTGAAATTTAAATATCTATTGGTGTGTGTTGGTTTTCTATACACCTGAGTCTCATATCCAGTATCGTTCTTAGAGATTAAAACATCCAGGAAAGGTAGCGTGTTATTATATTCCTTTTTCGTGGTAAATGTTATTGTCTCTTCTTTATCGTTTATATCATTTAGGAATGTGTCCAACAACTCTGATCCATGAGGCCATATTGAGAATACATCATCTACATACCTTCACCATACTGTGGGTTTGAAATTTTGTATTTTGAGAACGATTTCCGAAGTGAAAATTGAAACGTCAATAAACGTATTTTTATCTTTAATTGTGGCTTATTCCCAGTTTAATAGTAATTAAACTACATTGGTTTCATTTATAACAAATATGTCAAAATGATGGGTATAAAAATCGAGAGCAACAACTATAAATATTTTGAAATCGAAAAGAAAATTTTAAATTACGCAAAATCGAAAAGAAAATTTTAAATTACGCAAAATCTATTACTCCTAGTTATAGGACATCCATATATAATTCAAAAGTGGAATTTTTTTTTAATAAAATAATTCATTAATATACAGGGTGTTCCATTTAACATAAGCCTTATATTACACAATGAATAATCCAATAATGAAACTATAAATTTTGAACACCCTGTAAATAAATGTTTAATAATTAATCATGAAATACATTTAACTAATATCCAACTATTTAGAGGTATAACCAATTTTACTAGAATTTCTTAAATAAGTTAGGAATGAGTCTTCGTTTACAGCTTTACATTTTAAGAAAATTCGAAATAACTCAGAACACTCTGTACATAGGTCTAGCGAAGTCTTATGAAACTATACCTAATTTTTTACTGACAATTAAAAAATGTAATACAATATAGGGTGTCCTATAAGAAAAAAATATAACTTTGATACGCCGTACTTTATTGGGACGCCCTGTATATTTCAAAATAATTTTAAAATGTAGCCCTTATCAACCTTCAAACTATAAATTTAAAATTTTTTCAAAATCTTTTACCGTTTCGCGTAATCTTCCGTCCCGTTAGTGGTGACTCACCGTGTATGCAAATTTTATTATTTGGTGAACGGGAAGAGAAAACAATATTTTCATATTTATGCACTATAACTTAACTAAACACTGTTCTTAAATTCCACCGTAAATTGCAAATTTTGTAGGACCGAAGAAAAATACTGTTTACTACTATACCCTCAGGGATGGCCTCGTGTACAATTATGTAGAAATGTATATAACCAAAGATGTTGTTATTGGTTATCGTATTGTGAGGTCTAGAATCTGCAACTTTATATTAAGATTTGTAGAAATCGTTTAAATAATTTTAGGATAATGTTAATTTTAATCATTTCAGTATAATGTGCCCGTTGCCAACTCTAACAAAAAACCTGGAGAGAGTGTTTTTCGTAAAATTTAATAAACGTAATTCTGCAAGATTTAAATTAAATAAAGTGATAGCGTCAGCATTTATTATTCCACCTGAAGTTAGAATGTTCGAAGATCTTTCAGTGAATGACAAAATTGTTATGGATTTTAAAAATATAAAACTTTTGTACATCCCCAAATTTAAACCAGATCATTTTCGGAAAGTAGGATTCTTAGTTGAAGTAAGTAAATAGAACATTAGAAATTTTGTTTATTAATAAAATATATAAATGTTTGTATCTTGAGAACGATTTCTGAAGTGGAAATTGAAACGTCAAACAATAAAGTTATTTTAAACTTAAACTATGGCTTATTCAAAATGAAAACAGTCATTGCAATAAAATGCTACAAGAAAATAGCTTCAAAGCAACCCAAAAAGTTTTAAAAATTCACTAATAGGTGAACAAATTTGATTTTTTGCGCACAGCCTGGGTTATAAGGATATTATAGCTATTATAATAGAAAAAATAAATATAAATAATGAAATAAATTGAAAAGGATCTTTCTGGAAAAATGACATACGATATTATTCCTACTGTTTTCCTTTGCCGCTTTCATTCTTATATTTCCAATGTTATAATTGTTTTATTCCACATTATTTTATTTTACTTTTAAAATGTCAATAATTTTTGATAAAGTCACTTTACTTTAAGTTTACCAAGTTTATTCATCTACACATATTTGTCTTTATTTTAATTTGTTGTGATACAGTTTTGCCTATATTTTAGGAGCTGTGGAATAATCAACTTAAAGAAATTCACTGTGTCAATGTGCCCAAATATGCTGAGAAACTAATTTACTTCTGCAGAACATTTTTAAATAAGGAGTTACGTGAGAAAGTATGTATATTAATTTTTAGTTGAACATACGAGGTCTGCAATTAATTACCGAGCCTGTGGGTACAGAAATTTTGTTTAGCAATTTCTTTTAAATCTTACTTACATCGTTACATTGCATCGCTATCGGCAAACCTTCCACTTTATGAAGTAGTGCTACAAGTTATTTTCCAAAAGGTTTTCACCATTTTTCGTTTAATGTTCTCTAATAATTCGTTGCATGTTCCTTAAGCAGCATTTAATTTGTTGGGAACAGGTAAAACTAGCAAGCGAGTACCGCGAGTAAGGCAGGTGATCACTAGGTTTTTTAATAAGGATATATCTACTACATTACAGAAAGTCAAAATAAATGTCTTTAGAAGCTGGGTTTCTGAGCAAAGGCCTAGCACAACTGTCATTATTTTTAAATTCTCAAACAAAATTTGTCTTAGAGTGTCTTAAAATATCAATATGTTAAGAAATAGCCATCATACTTAATAAAGTCCTTTCGAAAAATTTTAGTCATAGCTATTAAAGAATCACATCCTTCCGATGCGAACAATGGTTTTTCCTAGTTATTTGATTATTACAATAAGATTTTTGAAAGTTTTAATCAAGATCAAGGGATGTATACATTTAAACCACAGCTTACGAAAGTTTGTTAAAAAAATAAGCCCGAAACGTAATTGCAACCCTTGTATTAAACGAGTTTTACGTTAATTTAATAAAACTTGAAAGATTTACTTTATTAATTATAAAACACGAATGCGTTACAGATTTTTGTTCACAAATCCTTAGAAGATCTTTACAAAGTTGTTCCAAGGGAAATATTACCAAAAGATTATGGAGGCGAAGAAGAAGATTTGAAAGACATTAACAGTAAGTATAAACCAATATTCTAAACTGTTGTTTCAGCAAGAATAAACAAATCGATATGGAATATTCACATATTTTTTTTATTTGCTAAACATTAGTAAGAACATTAATATACGTGATTTGGTTGTTAATTACGCAATATTTGTCAGCCAAAAAATTATGATTTACCAGATTCCAAAAAAATGCTGATTTGATTAAAGTCATATGCTATATTTATATAATTATACAGTCATCATCGTTTAAAAGCATATTTTCTTCAAAAATTTTATCATAATTCACTTCTATTCCTCCTCCTCAGTCCTAATCCCTTTTGGGATGTGGTGACAGTTTTTTCACGATTTTCCTCCATCCTTCTTTGTCTTGGGCTAGTTGTTCGGCTTTATGAAACCCTTAGTTAATCAATATTTTTGTTTGATCTACCTAACGGCTTGGAGATCTTCCCCTGGGTCTCTTTCTTTCAACTCTACCCTCGACTATGAGTTTTTCCATCGTATCTGTTCTTGTAGCAATGTGTCCAAAATACTGCAAATAATCTTTGTTTTACTCCTATTTAGCTTTAGTCCATATGTTTTGCTTTTCTCCTTTAGACATCTCATTATGTCTTCCATTTCTTCTTGATTTGTTGCGATTATTAAAATGTCATCAGCATATTTTAGGTTACTGATTTTTTGACCACCATATCCACCCTTCCATTCGTCTAGTACCTTTCGCATAATGTGTTCGCTGTAGATATTAAACAGAGTTGGCGAGATTATGCATCCCTGCCTGACACCTGCCTCTGTTCTGAAATGGTCGTAATGGGTGTTGTTTATTTTTACTGTGCACTTATCACTTCTATTACTAAATCTTTAATTTTTAGAACATTTTTTAATAAAAAAATCACATATAGTCTTCGCTATTTTAGTTTATTGTAGGAATGAGGCTAACAATGGGGTTTTACGTTTTGTTTTTGATAAATTAAAATTCCTAAATAAAAAAAAAATTAAGTTATTGTAGAAGCGATACTTATAGCCATCGAGCAAAAAGATAAAAGAGGGAATCTAATCCTTATGAAAAGGAGACCAAAAAAGTGGCCTCTGATGGCGGATATATCCGGAAATGCGAATGCGCCAAATTTAAATTTTCCGACACTTATTAACAGTAGCTGTATAATATTTTTCAGAATGTGTTTTAGACGAGAAAGTTTTAAGTAATTATTAGCGGTAATAGTCTAAAATGCGACACAATTGTTAAAAAACTTTAATATAAATAAGATTTCAGGTGACATTTGGGATAAACAATAACATAACCCAAATAAATTTGATGTCAAACAGGAGAGAGACACTCTTTCCTTGTTTAATGTGGCCTCTCAAGATAGCACTTCCTGTCGAACAATATTTTTGCCCCCACTACCTTTACATTCCCTCTTTTGTCTTTTTGCTCGATCCTTATAGCATAAGGAGGCAGAGATTAGTTAATTATTAAGAGTTATGTCCTCTTAGAAGGGCTATTATCATATTCTTCAATTTGTTGCTGGCTTTCAGCGAATTGTATTATTATCAGATTATATATGTAAACATTTAGAAACGTACAAACGGTTTAATACAACCCTTATAATTATAAATATTTCTTCTAGGTAAATGGTTAAATAAACTCAAGGAATACAGACAACGATATGAAAAACTTGAACATATGAAAATCAATAATTCACTTAAAACACCATATGGCCTTAATTGTGATATATTCGGATATTATGGTAACTACATGAAAACTGAGACCCACTAAAATTTTTTCCTGCTTCTTTGGTTAAAACTAATTTATTATTTTAGCAGTTAGTATAGTATAGTACCTGTGAGTAGTCAAATTATTATTTTAAATAATTAGTACAAGATATTTTTTATGTTTTTATTAAATTATTTCAAAATACGATTTATGATAGTTTTAATTTATTTTATTTAACTTTTACCTTTTCTTAGTACAGTTGTTTTGGACAAAGAAGAGCATTAGAAAAAACAGGTACACAAATATTGTGATTCTACATATATCGCGAGTAGATCTGTACTTCCTTACCCCTTGTCAATTTATTTATTTTAAAGATATATCAAAATCAAATCAAATCAAAAGTGATGACAAATTCAAATGCCATGAGCCAGTAAATATTCGACTAAATAAATTACACTATTTAACCACCTAAGTATTTTTACACTTCGTTTAAATCACTTAATTCAAAAACCAACTTGTTTACAATACTAAACTCAATTGTAGTAATTATATACTTTCAAATCTCAATTACAGCTGTTCTATAAACTATCAACTCTATATTTATATCATGACTTCATATTTAAATCTAAGGTTTATATCTGTCATAACAGTATTTTAAAAATGGGGACAATTTACTATTGTACAATTCAGTACATTGGACCATTTAAATCGATACCTTAAACGAAATTTAAAACTGTCGTATATTCGTGGAATTGGAGTATACTTAACGATGGATCTCTAATATTTTCCCATAGTGGTACATTTCGAAAACAAACCAAAAATTCAACCATACACTAGAAATACTAGGAATACAGTAATAGAGGATTAGTCACCGTTGACACAATTTGTGAAGAGTCAATTAAATTATTTTTTAGATCCATACCCGCATGACAATATAAACGACTTCTCCGCATACCGTCATACTTTCCGCAGTAGATTATATCATTGGAAAAAGAAACTAGTAAGAAATCGTATTGAAGTATCATAGTGGAACAATCACTGTCAGGATGCTATAAAGAAGACTCACAGAGCATTCAATAAATATAAAAAACAAAAAACACAAGAAAATCTTTTAGAATATAAGAATTTAAGGGCTATTAGTAGAAAAGTGGTAAAAGAAGCAAAAAAGGAATCGTGGAAAAATTTTTTATCAACAATAAACAGTTCTACCCCAGCAGCAATAATGAGGAAATAAATTAAGAAAATTTCGTGACGCCACACAAACTCATCAATAAGATTTTTAGAATTTAAAAACAAAATTCATACATCTAGATCTGGAATGGCCAACGCATTAGCTTCATCCTAAGAGTCATAGTCAAGTAACGAAAAGTTTTCTCAAGAGTTTTTACAATTTAAAACCAAAGAAGAATTACAAGAATTTAATTATGATAAAAGCGATAACCTACCAATAAATGCACCAATACTAGAGGAAGAGTTACCTGAATCTATAAATTCTAATAAAAACTCTAGTCCTGGTCCAGATGCTATTCCTATTATTTTCCTTAAAAATTTGCCTAAAAATGGAACTGTCTATTTACTAAAGACATATAACAAAATATGGCTTGAAGGAGTGTTTCCACATACTTGGAATAATGTTTACACAATACCCATCCTTAAACCTGTCAAACCACGTTCAGACCCAAACTCCTACCGTCCAGTATCGTTAAGATGTGCAATGAGCAGAGTGCTCGAAAAATTAATTAACCAACGTCTTATTTGGATACTCGAGCAAAGATCTGTTTTATCTAACAAACAAAGTGGGTTTCGTAAAGATAGATCAACTCTAGACAACTTAATTGTCCTCGAGTCTGACATACATGAAGCGCTAGCAAATAATCAAAGCTGCATAGCGATATTTTTTGATATAACCACAGCATTTGTTACAGTTTGATGCCATGGAATAATTAAAACTTTACAGAAATTAGGTATACAAGGAAATATGCTAAACTTCATCACTGACTTTTTAAAAAACCGAAGCATCCACGTAAAAGTAGATGCTTTTTATCAACCACTTTTAAAACAGTTGCAAAAAATTCAAAATGCTGCTGTAAAAATAGCCTTAAGAGCTTTTTGCTTACCTATGTTTAGTAGGAAAAAAGCATCTCTAATTAAAAAGACAATATCTTAGCCTAGCATATGCTGCAAACGTTTCAGCAAATAGTGAAAATCTTGTCAGAAATAATGTCTTTGCTTCTCGTTTCCACACAATATATCTTATTTATATCAATATATCTCGTTTCCACACAATATATCTTAACAAAAAAAGATCTAAACCCCCTTTTTATGAAAGACTTAATAGATACATGACCAGCAATAATATTGTCTGCCCTAAAATATACCAAACCACCCTTTTAACCGCTCCGCCTTGGATGATCAGAAAACCCTTTCTAGACTTTAGTTTAACAACGACTAGTAATCAACTTAATGCTTTCTCTATGGTTAAACAATTTTACAGTAAGATTGATGAGTACCAGAAATACCAATATATTTATACTGATGCCTCCAAATCAGAAAAAGGAGTGGGATGTGCCTTCATACACAACGACTACATTGCTTCAAATAAAATCTCAAATTTTAGCACAGTATGTACAGAAGAACTATTCGCAATCTACAAAGCATTATAATATGCACTGAACGCCAACTTAGACAGGTGCCTAATAATAACAGATTCCTTAAGTTCCATGAGTAGCTTAGGCACCATTTACCCAACTTATCTATTGTTGAGATTGATGAAGAAACATTTGTACCAACTTCAGCAAAAGAATGCGATTGTAAAATTTATGTGGATTCCGTCACATATAGGTATACAAGGTAATGAAAGAACAGATGCTGCCACTAAATCTTCAGTTAACAACGAAGACTTGATAGAACCTACCTATAAGAAAGCTTTTCATCGCTGGATTAACTCGACATTAAAAGAACGGTGGCTTTAAGAATGGAATCAATCTCAATAAAAACTACGAGATATAAAAACAGCAGTTACAAGATGAAAGAATATGTGTAGCAGCAGGAAAGACCAAATTATAATAAACAGATTGAGATTAGGACATACACGCCTAACGCATGAATACCACATTACTGGAAGTGTTCATTCAATGTGCGATTAGTGTGTCAACAGTTTAAGTGTCCAAAAGTGCCCTGCATATTCAAATGAGATGAAAAAGTGTAATATACCGACAACGCTACGCAAGTGTCTAGAAGAAAACTGTGTTTATTCGTCTGTTTTAAGTTTTTTTAAAATCAATAGGAATATACAACCAAATCTAAACATCAATGCGTGTACAAATAAATGTGTAATCTTCTATTAACCAATGTAGTTAGTTTAACTCAGATTTATGTATGTAAAAATCTATGTATTTCAAAATATGTATTATATTATGTATCCAAAAATGTAAAAAAAATTGTAATACCAAGCTGGGATAATAACCACTTAGGTTGATGCGCCTTAATTGTAAATAAAAAAAAATATTTTTGTGCATATCATTTGGTATTATTGTATTGTTTTTATTAAAACTGAAATGGGTTAAAAGAGCCTTCGCCATAAATAAAAGTTTTATTATTTCGTTGACCGCTGTTAACTATAATAAACTATATTTGTATACTAATTAGAGTCAGTCGAAATATGTTTTCAAACATTGATTACTTTAGGAACCAGATATTTCTTATATAAAGCCTTTTTAGTATGATATTTTACACATACCCATCCTGACAAACCTACCAGAATATTATTATTGAGTATTAAAATGGAAGAGACTGAAAATTTTCTAGTAACAGATCATAAAAAAGTATGGACTAATTTTGGAAAAACTGAAGAGGCTGTTAGTAAAGATGTAAAAATTATACAGGACTGGATAAAATGTAATCATTATTTTCCTGAAATACCTAGTAAGTATTTCGAATAATTTGATTTCTTTTAAGTATATCTTTTTTGGAAGTCTTTTATTTCTTTACATGAGTTCTCGAGACAAAATTCTTTCGCTTGTTTCATTTTTGTTTTTACGAGTTTGATTTGAGGATTTTCTGTATTATCGATCTTTTGAAAATATTGTCTATGTTTTCAGAGACTCTTCTTCTAAAATTGAGTTTGGTTTGTAATACCAATTCGTTGATGATTCTGTTTTCGTTTGATATATTTGTTATTTTGTGTTGTTTTCTATTTATCTGCTTGGTCGAGATATATCATACTAGGCTTATTTGGCTTTGTTAATTTATTTAATTTAATTTGTGTTTGGAAACAAATTTGTTTAATTTGTGACGGGGTAAGTTTTTAAATCTTTAATATTGTTTCAAAATCGGTGGTATATTACGATTTAATGTATTTTATTTCATACTATTCTATTTTGTTGTACATTTCAAGAAGATTTCTATGTGTACAAGTGCCTTCATGGAAGTTAAAACCAGGTATCTGTAATGAAGAAGTCCTTTTTTGGTTCTTTGATTTTTCTCTTCCAAGCAAAGTTTCCGTTGATGTTTTGCGTTATCTTCTCTTTAACGTTATTGTTAAAGTCTCCCATACCTATTGTTGTTTCGTGTTTTCTTATCATTTTTAGTACTTCTTCTATTTAATGTCAGCGATGGGAGCATAAATCTGATTTTATGTAAATGCGTATACTTTATGTGTACAACGTCTTTGTCACAGAATATATCTCCAAGTACAGAGGAACCTGTCCAAAACTTATCAGAACAGCTAAAAAAATGTACTATCAGTATTGTCTGGAAAGCTCTAAATATGTTGCAAGAGAAACTTGGTCCATAATAAACGATCTTCACAATAAATTTAACACAGTTCAAACATTTTGTCTTCCAAACCCTGAAAATCTAAATAAATACTTCGTTAATGTAAGTAAAAATATAACATCAACTATTTTGCCACAACAAAATCCTATTTTCTATCTCCACAATGTAATAATGTTTTGAATTCATTCTACTTCAAGATCAGTTGATAAATCTGAACTGATCCAAACAATCTAAATCCATAAAAATTTTCTTAAATCTTTCAAAAAATGTATTGGAAGTCCTGGTCTCACTAATTAGCAATTCTGTGGAAATATGACAGGCATATCCATTGTTGGACATATTACTCCTCCAATTGCTTCCACGCTTCCCTATATTTTGCAATTTTCATCCACTGCTTTCCAGCTATAGCTATCCATCTCTTTTTAAGTCTTCCCACGCTTCTTTTTGTTTCTTGATGTCTTCAGAATGTCACTTTATGAAACCATCTGTTGGTGTCTTGTCTTGCTACATGTGCTACCTATTGCCATCTCAATGTCGCCATTTTTCCCATGATGTCGGTTACTTTAGTTCTTCGACGTATGTCGGTGTTAGCAATTTTGTCTCTGGGGCTTATATTTAACATGGCCCTCTCCAGTTTCCCATCCCTAAGTTGCAACTGGTAGTATACAAGTGTCATAGGTTTTTCGTTTTAAGGGAATTGGGATTTTTCTATCTTTTAAAATGAAGCTCAACTTACCAAAAGCAGCCCATGATAATTGTGTCCTTTTAATTTCTAGGGTTTGATTTTCCTTTTCGTTTTTAATTGCATGTCCTAGATATATATATATTGTTCTACCTGTTAGGCTGTTGCTTAATATCTTTGTTTTGGCGAAATTCATTTTTAATCCTATTTGATTCGATTTGTGATTTAAATCTTGTAGCATTGATTTTAGTTCATGGATATCTGTGCTTATTAGTACTATGTCGTCTGCAAAACGCAAATGGTTAAGATATACTCCATCTATTTTTAATCCATTTTCGGCCCAATTTAGTTGTTTGAAAACATTTTCTAATGCCAAAGTAAATAACTTGTGTGAGATGGTGTCGCCCTGTCTCGCACCTTTGCCAAGGTCTATTTTCATAGTTTCCAGATCATCATCTATTTTTACGTAAAAAGTAACATCATCGTATATATTCTTAAGGAGGCATCATCGTATATATTCATTTCTCGATACTGTCGAATGCTTTGTGATAATCGACAAATGCCAGATGTAGTGGTATGTTGTACTCTATTGTTTTTTCAATAGCTGTCCGAATCGTTTACAAGTGATCGATAGTGCTAAAACCCTTACGAAAGCCTGCTTGCTCCACTGGTTGGTATGCATCTAGTTTAGCTGTCAATCTATTTGTTATTATTCGGGTTAGTAGTTTGTAAAGGTGTGACAATAAGCTTATTGGTCGGTAGTTTTCTATATATGCGGCGTCCCCTTTTTTATGGAGTAGAATGACTTCCGCATTTTTCCATGTCTTCGGTATTTATCCTTCCAATAGGCATTTATTCAGTAATGCTCTTATTGCCTCTTCTATTGCCTTACTATCCAAAATTATTGTGAGACTTATAAAAGCTCGACTTTCTCTTTGAAAACAACATTTTATTACAAAGTAAGTTTAAATTTTTATCTAATAAATGTACCAGCGATGCTATGTTTTCTGTACTACATGAGGTCTATCAATAACTAACCAATAATCTTTACACTGCCATTGTTTTTTGTGACTATGCCAAAGCTTTTGACTGTGTTAATTACATTTTGATAAAAAAAAATAAACTTCTACGGAATTCAAGGTAGTTCTTTGAATTGGTTCCAATGATACTTGAGGAATAGCAAAGGACCAGTTAGAGCAAATGATACTAATTCTAGTCAAAAGCATTGTATGTGAAGTACCACAAGTATTTTAGTCCTCTACTTTTCATTATCTTTATAAATGATATAACTAACTTAATCGATGGAATTTTTTTCTTTTTCTGGAGAAAGTCTAATATTGCAACTCTTCATGCAAGTATAACTTCTAATCTACTTAAAATAAAAACTTGGTTCGACTCTAATTTATTCATTTTTAACGTGACTAAGACAGTAGTATTATCCTATAAAGGAGCTCTTCAACCCTTGGTTCTCAACAGCAAGATTAGTATCGTTGATTGTGTAAAATTTTTGGTATTTTTATAGACAGCAACCTTAAATGGTCCCTTCATATTGATTTGTAAGTAAGAAACTAGCCTTAGCCTGCTATGCAATACGATCTAGTTCGAATTAAATTAATTTAGCCAAAATAACATATTTTTCTTTGTTCGGGTCTTATCTTCGATATGTCCTTCATATCACATGCACCAACTTAAACTTATTATACGAAGAAGGTTGCGTTTCGATTTAATTTGAGTCTCTTACCACTACCTGACACGTGTTTCTGGCTAAAGTGTCCTTGGTACCGCCCATATCTGAGGCATTTCCCTGTGGAGGAACCACAGGGAAATGCCTCAGATATGGGCATTTCTCTCTACCTGTGGAGGCCACGATACGGGCAGTTATCTAATATGTAGGCGGATTATATTATGGAATGTTTATTTAAAATATTTATTTAAAAAATTCACAATAACTAAAAATTTTAAATAGTCTTCTTGTGGAGTTCGACTGTATTTTTTTTCCAACCTTCAATATATGGGAGGGATGAAACCCGTAGACGGAAGACATGATTGATGCGTCGTTATGATTGGATATTAAAGTAACTTATAAACTCAAATTGTATAGCTTTTAATTACAAAAACTAAAAACAACCTAAAAAATGATATATTATGCCACTATTTACTAGCCGGAACAGGAAATGTTACTCTGTGGCACTCGGCAGCTCTGCAAATACGCACCTTGTGGCGCAAACAGCGCAGTAGATCTTCTTCTTCTTCTTTTTCTTCTTCTTTCTTCTTGTATATAGGCTTTAATGTCTGTTTCTTTTTCCATATTCGCCTCCTAAATTGTTTAAATTATAGCACCATCTTTTTCTTGGTCTGCCAATACTTCTTCGTCCATTTGGAGACTTATCTCGTGCTATTTGTACTATCCTATCCTCTGTCATTTTAGTAATGTGTTCTTTCCACTTCTTTTTCCGTTTTGTGATCCATAAATTCAAGTTTTCTATATTGCATGCTCTATTATCATGTTTTTGCTTCTTTCCCTATCCAACAGACTTTTCCCTGATATTCGTCAAAGTATTTTTATCTCTAGTCGTTTCTATTTAGTAGTCGTCTCATTTTAGATGTGTCTTATCTCCGCCGTGTATGTTATTACAGGTTTAATTTCTGCTTTATAGTTTCTTGTTTTTGTGTCTTGTCTTAGGTGTTGTTCCTGAAGATTGTGTCATTAAGAGATCCCGCCGCTTTACTTTTAAGCTTTGTTGTCGTACTTCTTCAAGATCTCCGTAACTAGTTATATTTATTCCCAGATATCTAAACCTTGCTTCCTGCTTTATTATTTTCCCATCAATTTCGATTTTACATGGTAGGTGGTATTTAGATGTTGTCATACATTTGGTCTTTTTTGCTAATATTATCATATTGTATTTCTTAGCTGTTGTATTGAAGATGCGTGTTAATCTTTGAAGTTCGTCTTCTGTCTCGACGATTAATGCGGCTGCATGTCGTCTGCATAACATAATATGATATTTCTTTGTTTCCCATTCTGTAATCATGACCTTCACGTACTGTTTATATTATTTTGTCCATTACTATATTAAAGAGAAGTGGGCTTAACGAGTCACCCTGTCGGACTCCGCTTTGTACTGGGATACACTGTGTTAGTTTTCCATTTATCTTTGCCTGTATTCGATTATGGTAGTAGATGTTTTCGATGGTTTGTATAACATTGATTGGTATGTTTCTTTTATACAGTGTAAACCGTTTTTGATTTGTATGCGACTTTGTCAGGTCTATAAAACATAGATATGCTGGATTATTGTACTCGGATTATACGCGCAGTAGCTCCATTATTCAAATCTTTAGCGGAAAAATATTTTGGGTAATTGTAATCGGTGTTCTTACGAAATATGTCACATATGAAAAGAGACCTATGTAGACAAAATATTGTGTTTTAAATAACTTGAGTATAAACTAGTATAAACTATTTCTTTAGACGATATTATGATCCAACACTTTCTGGTCAACTGCAACTTTAGTATTGAAAGAACAAAACAGTGCTTGGACATGTATTATGCAGTTAGAATTGTTATTCCAGAGATGTACAATTACATCAATCCAACATCAAGTTACATGGCCGCAGCTTACGAACTTGTGTAAGTATATTCATTACTTTTTATGATACTAACCAGTACAGAACGATCAGTATGAGACTAATCAATAATCAAAAAGTTTCCAAAACTACGTAACATTATTTAAAAATTACAATGTCGGTGTCAAGTCATTATCTTTCCGAGATATTTTGAGTTTTTCATCAAATTTCGGTGAAAATTTTTTCGGTAGTTTCAAGTAGAAATAAGTATTGTTTCCTAACGACGAGAGTGGCCAAACGACTGGACAACGTCCACTTTCATCCCTATATTCAAAAAAGGAACTCCGCTAGATTGCAACAACTACAGAACGGTAATCCTAATATCTCATTCAAGCAAGGTTCTACTTTATATAATACATGAAAGACTAAAAGCTTTTTTATTGCCTCAGATATCAGAAGAACAAGCGAGATTTGTAAAAGAAAAGGGCACAAGAGAACACATCCTTAATGTCAGACATCACCATCATCATCCAGCCCCATTTTCACATCCATTGTTGGATATAGGCCTCCTCCAAACGTCTCCAGTTCTCTCTATCTTTAGCTGCTGCAATCCAGTTTGTTTCTATTCTCTTTAGGTCGTCGGTCCATCGGGTGCGTGGTCTGCCTCGACTTCGCTTGTCGGCTCTTGGTCTCCACTCCAATAATCTCTTCGTCCATCTTCCGTCTTCCATTCTAGCAACATGTCCAGCCCACTACCACTTTTGTTTATTGATTCGCAGTATAATATCGTCTACGCCAGTTCGTCGGCGTATCTCTTCATTTCTCACGCGATCTTTCAAGGTCAGGCCCAGCATTGATCTCTCCATTCGTCTTTGTGTTACCCTCAGTTTTTCGGCAGTAGCTTTCGTTAAAGTTAGGGTCTTTGTTCCATAGGTCAAGACTGGTAAGATGCATTGGTTAAATGCCTTCCTTTTCAGGCGAATTGGGATATTTGTTTTAAAAATGTCTCTCATCCTTCCATATGCCGCCCATCCCAACGTGATTCGTCTATTTAGCTCGCAGGTTTGGTTGTCTCTGGTTATTCTAATTTTATGACCCAAGTATGTGTATTTATCGATTAATTCGACCTTGTTGTTATTAATCTGTATCTCTTCGCTGGGAACCATATTGGTCATCATTTTGGTTTTCTCGAAATTTATATCCAGCCCAGTTTCTTGTAGTATGTCATTCAGTTCTTGGAGCATGTCTTTGATCTCTCCCAGATTATCTGACAGAAGCACGATATCGTCCGCAAAACGTAGATGGTTTAATCTTTCTCCATCGATGGATATTACTTTCTCTTGCCATGTTAGTTTTTTAAATGTATACTCAAGAACGGTAATGAACAGCTTTGGTGACATGGTATCACCTTGCCTGACTCCCCTTTTTATCTTTATTTTATTAGGTGCAGAATGTAGACTTATGGTTGTTGTGGCATTTTCATATATATTTTTGACTATATTACAATATCTGTGGTCGACACTGCAATCTTGTACGATCTTTTAAGATGGACGGCAGTTCCACTGTATCAAACGCCTTTTTAAAGTCTACAAATGTCAATGCCAAGGGAAGGTTATATTCGTTAGTTTTTTCTGTCAGGGTTTTTAGGCATTGCAGGTGACCGTTTGTGCCGTAATTAGGGCGAAAACCAGCTTGTTCCCGAGGTTGGTAAAAATCCAGCTTTGTCTCTAATCTGTTCGTTATTATTCGGGTGTATAATTTATAAAGATGGTTAAGGAGACTGATTGGTCTGTATCTTTACAGGTCTGCTATATCTCCCTTCTTGTGTAAGAGTACAGTTATTGAATTATTCCACTTTGTTGGGATATTTTGATTCCATAGGCATAGATTAAAGAGCTTTTGAATTTTGGCTATCAGTACTGAGCCTCCTATCTTGATCGCTTCCGTGACGACACCGTCCTCCCCCGGAGCTTTGTTATTCTTCATATTTTTTAGAGCCTTGTAAATTTCGTCCAAGGAGATTTCTGGGATATCTTTGGAACCCTGATTTGGAACCTTACTTTATTGATATTCAACTATTTCTAGAGTCGATTGGTTGCTACATAATGTCTCATAGAATGATTCCACAATTTGTAACAAATGTTCTCTGTTTGACGTGATGTTGCCATTTCTATCCTTGAATTTGACTATTTGACTATATCGGAAGCGACCGGATTTTAGGGTCTCGAGGCCTTCACCTCGCCTTCTCACTTCACTAACTCCGACGTTGTCCCATCTGATCTTTTCTAATTCTCCTTCCATTTCTTTAAAGCTTTCATCAGAAAGTAGAGTTCTAGTATTCATGGTTGCAATTTTGAAAACTGTTTGTTTTTTAAAGCATACTCTTGTCAAATTTGTGTCCCCCCAGAATCCTTGGGACAGACTGATAAATCAGTGTGAGAGTGTCTATTCATCTGGAGTAGTTTCCGTTTTGTTTTAAAATGCTCAGACAGCTAATCGAAAAAACTCGTGAATTCATTAAAGAAATTGGGGGCTTTGAAGTACTAAATAGTTTCATATACATCCTTGTTAACAAATAACGGAGGGTGTGACAGAGAGATACATAGAAGGTTGCCTATTGCTAGAGCAACTATGATGAAACTGGTAATAGTTTGGAAAAATTCTAGCCTAACAATACACACAAAACTAAGGCTGGACCTTAAAGACAGTGGATAAAACGAAACTAGACGCTTTTGAAATGTAATCATAGTACTAATGTATTGATATTAGAACAACTTAAAGTAAAGGATAGATTGCTTAAACAAATACAACACAGATATTTTCAGTATTAGCAAACTGTATCAAGATAACCTGGCATATATTCGAATGTACGGATATCTGTCTGACAAATGCACTTTGGAGAAGGGAGTACGCCAAGGATGCGTTTTATCTCCCTTATTATTTAACATCTATTCGGAGTTCATAATGCGCAGAGTTTTGGATGGTTGGGAATGAGGAGTAAACCTAGGTGGTGTTAAGATATCTAACTTGCGTTTCGCAGACGACACTACACTTCTAGCCTCTACTCCAGAAGAAATTATTAAATTATTAAAAAAACTCGAGGTAGAAAGTGCTAAATTTGGACTCATGGTTAACTACAACAAAACCAAAATCATGGTTATTGATCGCCAACAACAGTTTCCTGAAACCCAAACTATTGCGGGATGCGAGGTAGTCTCATCTATGATATATCTTGGAGCTTTAGTTAACAACACAGGCAGTTGTGAATCCGAAATTAGAAGACGCATTCAACTAGCAAGAGTAGCAATGAGTGAACTAAATGGGGTCTGGCGTGATCGTCACATTACTATGACAAACAAAAAAAGACTCGTTTCAACTCTGGTCTTTTCCATATTTTACTATGCATGCGAGACATGGACAGTCAAAGAATCAGATCGACGACGTATAGACGCCTTTGAAATGTGGACATGGAGACGCCTGCTTCGAATTCCATGGACGGCTCGCCGTACAAATATCTCGGTTCTGGATGAAATTAAACCGGATCAGCGTCTCTCCGTCTCTCAGTACCGTTTACTCTAGAATTTTAAAGTACTTTGGCCATATCCATCGAAGTGATCACAAAATGGAGCGGTTGGTGGTCCAAGGAAGGCCTCAGACTCAACGCCAACGCGGAAGATCTCCACAGCGATGGGCGGACATTACTAAAAAGCTTCTCAATAAACAGTATACTGAGGCAATACATATAACTGATGACCGCGACCAGTGGAGAAATATTATCAATCAAACTGTCCCAGCTGCTGAAGCCCAATTATGAACCACAACACATCTACTAAGATGTTAGTGACTGTGATGATGATTTTCAGTACTTTGGACACATTGCTAGAAGAACAGGTTCTATGGAAAAACTGATAGTCAAGGGTAGTTGAAGGAAAGAGACCTAGAGGAAGATCTCCAAGCCGTTGGATAAAATATTGATTAACCAAGGGATACATGAAGCAGAACAATGGAGAGAAATTGTGAAAAAACTGTAAAGGCCTGATAGGGTCACCACATCCCTAAAGGGATTAGGACTCAGGATGAGGAGGAATCACATCTGTTAAGTTTGAAATTATATTAATGTTTCACTAATCAACTTATTTAAATTCTTTAATAAAGCTGCATTTGATCGAGATTAACTGAATTACAACCAAAAAAATACACATTGGTTAAACCGTTTTGTTTTAGCTTATGTTGCCCTTTGCCCCGTCTAACAGACCAATTGGAGAGAATATTGTTTTTAAAAGTAAATGATGGCGATCTTCAAATGTTTAATATAAATAAGGCATTGGCTGTAGCCCATACTAATATTTCTGAAGTAAGAATTTGGGAAGATCTAACGCTAGGTGACAAAATTGTGATAGATCTTAAAGATATAAAAATTGGTCATGTTACAAAGATAAATCCAAGCGATGTTAGGAAGTTTGGTTTTATTCTGGAGGTAAGTTCGTTGCAGGATTGCGTATTCATACCACATTATTACCATACATTTAACAAAAAGGACACTTTGAACTGTCTCTGTTATCTCGTCCAATATTAGTGACAATAATTAGGATTAGAGCGTACTGATTCAATTAGCCTTTTACATGAAATCTTAGTGTCTTTCCTACACATATCCTAACACTAGTTGTTACTTCATTATAGATATTTCTTATTTTCTTTATGTACAATTCTCGTTCCTAAGATTGACAATTATTAATTTTTTGCATACTTTTGAGATTGTTCGTTTACACAGATGATTATTGGTGATGTCAAATGATTCCCGCGGATTTTTTAACAATAATGTTTCTTTGTGATTTTGTTATTGATGTTTTGATGAGTTTTGATGTTCCACTACTGCATCAATAAGTGCCTGTAGGCCTTTAAATGTTTCGGCTATCAGCACATCTTTTATAATCTTCACACATTAAATCTTCTTTTTTTATACAGTACTCTCCATAGAACATCTCGAGGTAAAATTTGTTTAGCAGAAAATGGTTGACTTCAATTGGTGCGGTGGTAAATATTATTAAATTTATCTGACTTGGCCCATTGTTAAGACTTTCCCGGTGCGATAAGCAAATGTGGTAGAAAGAGTTGGTCATTTAACAATTAATACTGACTAAACGGTACTCCTGTAATAAAGCAAAGGATCCACAAAATTTACAATAATTATGACGACAAAAACAAAAAACGGATGTAAAATATATTGCTTTGCTTATATACCCAAAATTAATGTTTTCAAATTTGTGGTTCTGAAAAGAACCCTTTTGTTTTTAATCGTAACATTTGTAGATTTGATGACAGTATCACTCCACACATAGTTCTGTTTCGCTATCGCTATCCTTATCTAAATTAATTATGATCGGTTCAATTATATTTTGATTTACATGAACATATGAATTTTCTTTACTTGTTACGTTTTGGATTAAATTTCTCCAACTACTTGGAAGAATATCATTGACACATTTTCTTATAACTCTACAACAGTACTTCTTAACGTTGGAGAAATATTTTGTGACCTCACGTTAGACTTCAATCCGTGCCACATAATATGTTATATGGGATTAAACATACAATATTAGGGTACAAGGGTGGAAGCCGAAGCACTGTCTGTCCCATTTCCTCTGCCAATGTATCACAAACATATACCTCCATGTAATTTTAAATTTCCAATTATGTATTACTCGAGTTTGGAGCCTTACTTAGTTGACGACTGTGATAGCTTGCACTTTCCATTACTATCGCGCCATTCTCGGGAATGTTTGGCATAAGATTATTTTTGAACCATTCTTTAAAAAGTTCTGCCGTTGTATCTTCATGGTAGCCGACCCAGGAGTCTCTATTATTCTTTGCAGAAAGCCACAGGGCATTTGGAACCCAACCATTTTCTTGTTCTTGTCTCTGTCAAGCTATCCAGGCTTCCTAGAAATATAAGCTGGTCCACTATTTTTACTTTTGTTTCTTTTTGTAAGTAGTAATTGTTCATGCGAAACTAAAATGTCTGAGTCGGCAATATTTCTTTACGACTTGGTGTAAGAATGTTTTTCATGTGTATAAGATAGTTTTGGTATAAATAATATATATTAATCTATTCAATTGTTTAAGATTTTATTGTTTTCCAGAACGTTTGGAATTTAAAAATAAAGGAAATTCATTTTTTCAACGTACCGAGATATGCAGAAAAAATTATTAAACTTTGTAAAACTTTGTTTAATAAAAAGCTGGGTGAAAAGGTTAGTATTATTTTTTTAACATAAATTTATAATTGAAAACAAAATATCAATATTATTAATAGTTTATATTAATACTCATTTTACAATAAAAATTGGATACAATATTACCTACAGAGTTATGATACAGAGTTTACAATAGTATAGAATAACAATATTATGTAAATTATTTGTTAAACAACTGTGTAGTCTTTAAGAAGTCTATTAGGCTCTTGAGTCCGCTTCAACAGTTCAGAAGTTCGTTTAGCTGTGGGTTATTCGCGAGGAACCGCAAAGTGGGCGACGCCTGGTGGTAGATTTCAAAACTATCTACTTCGGGAAAACCTTGAAATTGTCATTATTTTGTATACATATTAGCGCCAGGTATATAATATATTGTAATTAACAATGACTTCGACTTCAAAAGACTATTACAGTGTTCCTCAACGTTCATCCCATTATAATTCACAAAAAAATTCCATACATAAGATTCCGCTGGACGAGAATATGAGAAAAGTTCGGCAATGCATTTTGCGAATTGGCAAACCTATAACCAAGTACATGACTGTGTGCAGTTTACATTTTATTGAGAACGATTACTTTCCAAGTGTTGATTAAAATGTTATTTATATTTTAATATATTTATACTTAATTTACTTTACAGTAACACCTGAAACTAAATTGAGAAGACTAAAGCAAAATGTTGTTACATCAGCTAAATTGCCCAACGGTCTCATTAAGTTATTAGTAGAAAACGTAAGGCGTAATTTACAAAATATAACGTGGCCAGCTCCAAAAACTGCCTCACCCTCAACAAAAGGTCTCTGCCGATCTTCCAACCATACAAATAATTAAGATAATGTAAATTTTACTTCCCGTTTTTCAGACCTACTGTAGAAAAACAAACATTTAATTTTATTTTTATTCAGGTTTGGGAGTCAATTACCTTATGTATAAACTTGAATCACAAACAAATAAACTTTGAAGAACGTACTCCAACTTTTAATTTAGCAAAACAACCGTGTAAATGATTTATATTAAACGTTTTATAGCTTAGAGATCAAATGACAAAACTGTGAGGATGTGCTTGACGGTGATAGTCAGTCAGTAAATGTTCTTTCTCAATAGGATAGGATAAGGATTATTACAGAGAAAACCAAACAGCCGAAATATCGAGACGAGTAAGAATGGGATGGGCAGCGTTCGGCAAACTTTCTTACGTTCTAAAAAATCAAACAATCCCTCTATACTTCTGAAGAAAGGTATACAACTCCTGTATAATACCGGTGCTCGCCTACGGAGCACATACATGGACATTTACATAGGCCAATTTGGATAGGATAAGGAAGACACAAAGAGCGATGGAGAGACAAATGTTGGGTGTATCACTTAGAGATAGAAAACGTAACCAGTGGATCAGTACCAGAACAAAGACAGTAGACGCGATAGAACAAGCAGCAAAACTTAAATGGAAATGGGCTGGACACAACGAACGTCTCCAAGATGGACGATGGAACAAAGCCATCGGAAAGTGGCGTCCATACAATGCAAAGAGATCAAGAGGCAGACCACAGATGAGGTGGAAAGATGACATCAGGAAACAAGGAGGTCCCACATGGCAGAGAACAGCTCAAGATAGGAAAAGATGGAGAAAACTGGGGGAGACCTATATCCATCAATGAAAGGATAAAGAATAGGTTAAAAAAAGGATTATTTATTTCAATAGGATGATAATATATTTTGTACCCGTTTAGGGTAGGTTGACCCTCTTCAGGCTTTAGTTAAACGTTGTGGATAGCAGTACAGAGGCAAACATACCCAGCAATCACTGGGGTGTTAGCTTCTTCTTTTCTGTTGTTCGTCACCTGTTCTTCGCCTGGAGGAGTTTAGAGCCGACAATCAGAGAACCAGAGAGAAAGGCTTTACTCGAATAGGTGTTCTTTCCAGATCGGTTGTGTGTGTTTTAGAGCAGGCGCTCGGGAGTCCTGGTGATGAGGGTGCATCGGATGATGACGGTAACCTTCCTTTCAGACGAGGATACTGTATCCGAGATACGCGTATCCGAGACGAAGATATTACATAGACTCAAATGGAGCTTTTCACACGGGACGCGCGAGTGATACCGTATGCGAGATACCGAATGCGTATGCCAGATAGTAGTCCAAATTTTGTTTCATTCTTTTTATTTACGAATGTAAACCATTTTACTTTATAGCGTCTTTACTACACTTTATACAGTTCTATTATTTTTTTAAATTACTACTTACTTTACTTGTAAATAAAGTTTATTTTATTAACTAAATACAGGCAATTAATTCTACATATTTAAGGTTTTTAATGAATTTCTATAGAACAAAAAGACGTCCCTTATCTTCGATGGCACGTAAATTTAGTCTTGCATGTGCAATAAGCCTATGGACTATTTCTAAGTAAATTTCACGAAATTTCTGCAAAATTTGTCGTCTTAGCTGATTTTCACTTTGGACTTCCCAGTTATTATTATACACAGTTTGACTTAAAACAGCTCAAAACTCTTTTATAGGCATCGCCCGAGGCACAATTGAAGGGTTGTGGCGCTTATAATGGCCAAATCGCCCTAGGTCGGAGTAAAATATGATTTCATCATTGGAGTGGTGAGTGTTTATAAATTTCACAAGCTTCGTAAGATAGTTGTCAACGTAATTGTCAGCATTAAGAGTTGTTTCACCGCGAACACGCCCAACAATAGGCTATGAAACACCAGCTTCTTAGACGGCACACCATACCAAAATTTTATCGGCCAAAAACTAACTTCGTCCGGTGTATTTTGTACATTGCGTATATAAAATTCGTCGTTGCCCTTCATTTCGGAATTGGATAAAGTAAAAGACTTTTCATCATGAATAATGAGAATTTTACCAGGAAAATGAATACGTCTCATCGCACGGCAACATCTAGGAATTTATTCTAACTGGGCTGGTGTGTTTATGATAGTATCAAGGAGTCCAATAAATAATGAACAACTAACTCTTGGTGGACAGCAAATAGAGAGAGTGACAAAATATAAATATCTGGGTGCTTACATCAATACAGAATTAGATCCAGACCAAGAGATCCGGGTACGAATAGAAATGGCAAGGGCAGCGTTCTTAAAATTCAAACAATTGTTCTGTGACAAAAATCTGAATATTACGCTGAGACTGAGGTTTGTTGAATGTTACGTCTGGTCGCAACTATTGTACGGGGTAGAAACATGGACACTAAAAGCGCAAATAGTTAAAAAGATTGAAGCCTTTGAACTTTGGATATACCGGAGAATGTTGAGAATCCCATGGACTGCCAGGGTCACCAATGAGGAAGTGCTGAGAAGAATGGGTCGAGTCAAAAAATTGTTGAGAACGATAAAAGTACGCAAGACTGCATACCTTGGACACATACTAAGAAATAATAAATATAGTCTTCTGCAGGTCATCATGCAGGGTAGAGTCGATGGCAAAAAGGGAATAGGTAGAAAGAGGAAGTCATGGCTGCGAAATATTCGAGACTGGACAAACATGACTGTAGACGAATTATTCCACGTTGCAAAAGACAGAGAAGCTTTTAAAAATGTGGTCGCCAACCTCCGTTAATGGGGACGGCATAGGAAGAAGAAGAAGGGCTGGTGTGTACTTAGGAGCTTTTTTTCTTTTATATCATCTTAAATTATTCCTAGAAATTGTTCTACTTACATATACTCGTGAAATATTCGTTTTGGTACATGTCTAATCAAACGATAAATACTTTGATGAATATTAAGTTAATACGACATCTTAATGAACCGTATGTGCCAAAACTGACATTGTTTACATCGTTTAAGTTAATTATTAAGTTTGGTTTTCAATGGCAACTTATCCAATGCTTCCTATCAATTATACTTTTAAATTTAAAATTTTCCGAAAACCATAGGGTCATACGTTATTTTAAAAGCGATATTGAATTTAAATTGTTATAATTTTTCAATTTGAAAACCTTTATAATAAATTTATATATTTTAAGATCTTTCTTCATACTTCACTTGAAGAAATCTATAAAGTTGTGCCTAAGGAGATATTACCAAAAGAGTATGGAGGAAATGAAAAATCCTTACATGAACTTAATGGTAAGTAATGTATTCCTGGATGACGTCGCAAAAATACCAGTGTGACACTTTGTATACATCCATTTCTATCAAGGTTTTCTCAGCCTTCACATACTACCCAAAGTCTACCTTGGGACCATCCTGAATTAACTTAAAATATAAGAATATAACGTTATTTATAATAGATTACAAGCCCATGGGACATGTAATAACAATTTTAAAAACTACGCCGTGAATTTTTATCGTTATCGGTAGATACACAGGTCAATTAAACTTACCAGTCAAGGGGGGAGGGCATCTTTTTGTACGGTATTAATAACTTAGTAGGTAATACAAAAATAATGACCTGCAACCTGATGCCGCACAAAAATAAATATTGGTATCAGTAGAGTGCGCGCAAGCACTCTTGACCACGGCGCAGTAGATGAAATTTGGTTTAGTCACCACTTCCGTGTGAAACGCATTGTACTATGCACTGTATGATTCCATTTACAATAGAACCTTTCTGCCTTTACGTGAATTTGACTCCGCCTTCGCGCAGCTCCATGGTCAAGAGTGCTACCAGGAACAATCTTTGATTTTTGAAACATTTTGACCCCCTTTTTGGGTAATTTGATATAGTACGGCATATGTAGATTACTTTTTTTGCAGTGCCGTAGATATCGGTGAGATATCTAAGGCGCACCCCTCTATTTTTAAGTAGTACAAATGAGGTCATTTGAGCCAATGACCTCATTTGTACTCACTGATTTAAATGTAGTTGCATAAAATAATAACATTTTTGGACACGCAGTACATTTTTCACGGTACATGTGCGTATAAGAAGAAAATTAATTTCCCTCTGATAAGTGGGATATTACGATCAAACATCTCTGTACGGCATTGATATATTTTGGTCATATTGACATCAATTGTCAACAAAAACAAAATGCCGTACAAAAAATTGTTCTAAATGGCACTGATAGTCCAGGTTGTATCATAAAAATGAGACATTTTTATGATGCCATAAAAATGTCTCATTGACTTGTAGTCTATAATTTATAATTTTAATGTCTTTTAGATATGTGGCTAAAAAAGACGAAGCAATACGAGGACCGTTTTACAAAACTTGAAAATATGGATATTAATAATTATATCAGACCAGATTTTGGCTACAATGATATATCAGGATATTTTGGAAATTACATGAAACTTGAAATGGAATAAATATCAGTTAATCTTATAACATTAAAACCTGCCATACTCTGTACTTATCCTCTTTAGTTAATAAATATTACAAGCATTATTTACTTTGAATAAATGAGAAAGGGAAGTATTTTTGAAGTTTTAAATATTTAATTCCTAGCTGAGCGCTCTCGGCTTACGAAGCCATCGTCAGAGCTCTATTTGCTAAAGTAGAATAACTAGTCTAAGCATCTTATTTTAGTATTACCACAGAATAATAAACAATCAGAATGTCGAAACACATAACACAGACATATGATTTGTGAGGTTATGTAATTGTTTATATTTATGTTTAATTATATTATATTTAACAATGTTAATATAATTGTATAGTATGTCTTTGATTGCCGTAAGTCAATTAAACCAGGTTAATTTTTCTATATACACCACATAAACAAAACCCTCTAAAACATGGCGGAACGTCTGCTCGAACGAGATGTGCGTACTTAATATTCCATGGAGAGTGGGCATTCTGATTGTTTATTATTCTGTGGTACTACTATGTTTAACTTACGTCAAATTTATAAAGTACTAAAGAGAAATCTTATTTTTGAAAAATGAAAAGTTTTTCTTAAAATGTTAAAAGAACTTCGAAAAAAATATCCAAAAGGCACATTAGACTCTACAAAAAACACAATAAAAAATTTGTTCATGATACAGGTGTACTTATCCAACCATCTGGATAAAATTGATGACATTTAACTGATTTTTCAAAAAATGACAACTGACATGTGAATTACATAAATTATTACATTGAATATTGACAATATTTAATTTTACAAAATTTTCGAAAAATTGATATTTAAAATTAAATGGGAAATGTATCAAAGTGCAAAAATGGTAAAATTAAGATACATAAATCTTGGTTTGAAAATCATACATGTTGAAATTGACTAAAGGCACAGCCATCTTTACTTCCAAGCCATGAAGTAAAAAAGGCAACACCGCATTCTAGGACGTCGGTAGTCCGATAATCACCTGTAAGGTCTACCAGAAAATTATACTATTTTGAATTTTAGGAAACTGATATTTTGAAAACTTCAATTCATTACAGAGACCCCCTCTGTGGCTCAGTGGTAAGAGCGCCTGCCTTTAAACCTAAAGGTCGTGAGTAAGAATTCCACCTGGGTGGAAATTTTCGTTTATTAAAATAATTAATAAATGAAAATAATTTCTGTCCTTGTGTGATCGGTACACACCGTAGGGACCGCAGACGTTCGGATACAATTAGCGTCTCTTAGCAAAGACAATGACGTCGACTTTGCTAAGTATCAAGACAATTACTCTACACACACAAACACACACACACACACTACATTAATAAACTTATCTTGATTGAGACTGGCTGAATGACAATTGTCCAAGCCAAAACACACACAAAAAAAATTCATTACAGAAATATTTTTAGGGAAATTAAATTAATAAAACCTTATATTTACCTAATATATACATATATATATATATATATATATATATATATATATATATATATATATATATATATATATAAAGTTTTATTATTATTTAGGTTATATTATCAATAAAATAATCACTAGAGTAAAATTTATTGCACTTAAAATACAGTGTCAAACAGTTGTTAGTCTTACAATCAAATGCAGTCAAGAATCTCTAGAAATTTTAAATATTAAGTACTTAAGCATATAAATAACACAATACATTAACACGACATTGGTAATTGAATATCTTCTCTATGAATCCTTCTCTATGAATAGAGCATAACCTAGTATACCTTTCTTGGGGATCTTTGGGAAACTAAAACGTACTTTCTGCCTGTTTCGTTTTTAAAGTACTGGCATAATTGGTTTTGCAACCAGGTACACAACAATACCAGAGCATCTGTAACAAAAAACAAAAGTATTATTATTGTTGTTTTTAGTTTACATGTTTTGTAACAAGAAGCAAAAGTATTATTATTTTCAGTTTGTTTTGTAGGTTATATTTATACTTGCCTTTTAAATTGTCGTTAAGAATCTTCTAAAAGTTCTAAATTTAATGAAATTTCACTTATATTAATATTTTCTAATTTATTTAAACACAATTTACAACTAAAACATTCGAATAAAGTTAAAAAAAAACACTAAATTCAACAAACTTTACAAGCCTTCCTATATGAAATGTTAAACAAAACAAACCACGGTCGGACTACCACGCGTTGTTGCCAAATTTCTACTTCATGGCTTGGAAGTAAAGGTGGCTGTGCTAAAGGTCAAAAAAATATAACTGACAAGTTATCCTTGAATCCATAATTAAAATCATTTATCTGTCTATATAAAAGGCTAGTATGACAAGTCACACTGTTTGTTTTTTGTCCGGTAGGGAAATTACGCCACCTGGGGAAAGAAATTTTGTAACGGTTATATTGTCTACCACATAGGGTATTGCTTAAAGGGGATCGAAAATTGGGGACAGAAATTGCTGGGTTCGAAATAGGGTAAGTAAAACAAACCGAAACGTTTACAAACGGCTACTTTGGGTTTGTTTGGAGAGCTGGATCGTGAGAAAGTGAATGAAAAGGATACTGGAATGGGGAAACTAAGAAAAGTGAATCAAAAGGTTACTTACATGGATTTCCTGGACAAAACAACACAAGAAGGTTCCTAAGCTATTTAAAATGGACGTCGCTTGCAAGAATCTTCCTGATGTGTGGAACGGTAGGCTTTTTTTTCCAAAAAAATACAAAAATGTGTTAGAACCTTTTTAAAGACGAAATAATACTCTTGGCTTAGAGAGAAACATTACATATTTATATTATCTCACTATCTCAATAACAAAACAACAAAAACAACTTACAATGTTGCTATCGCTTTACAACTCTAGACGTTGGAGACACTATCAGAATTAAAATAATTGTTGGGCGACATTTGTAGCGAAAATAAATTATTATAAATGAACAACATTTTTTTTAAATGGAACTATGCGTAGAGTGTCAATACTAAATTTTAAAACCTTATAAGAATAATTAATATGACAGTTAGCCACTCTCTAATATTTACAATTTTACTAATTACAATTTCTTAACTTGTCATGAAAGAAATTATTGATGGAAAATGTTTATTTGTAATTAAAAAAAATTAACCAAAAAAAATAGCTGATTTTCAATGAATGTTATATCTCCTTTTAAAGTTCTGTGGTTGTGACTGGACTCAAAACTCACTGCAAAACAAACAAATGCATCTCACAAACTGCAAAAATGGTCTGAAATGACAACCAGGAACAAACAAAATGAGGATAGAAGCTGGGCACGGGATTATCTGGAGGCAATCTTCAAAACTTGCATTTTAGAACACTCAAACCTTTGCTTGGAACCATGTGGATATCTATAAAGTTGTAGTGATTACTCAGACAAAAACTGACACATTACCTTTGAGTATAATTCACATTTTTACAAACAAATTTGCCGGTTCCTTCAAGCTACGCACGTTGCGTCTTCTCTCTTTAAAATCTGAATCCAACCTTAACTTGAACTTTATATTTAATTTCTACAATACACTATATTTCCATGACAAAAACAAAAAACGTAAAGCCATTACGAGTTTTTAAAAAAATCTGGACTCGAAACAATGAAGTGACCACTTCGGTGATCTATTGCATAGTGACATAATTCTCCCAACTCGATAAAAACAAAACGTTAACGAAGATATTCCTGTTTATTTGATGCGCAAAATATCCTAAAGCGGCATCAAGATAAAAAAATACCAATGAAATACGCATGTGTAATATATAACCAAACTGTAAAATGTGTTTTTATAAATCTCGGCTTCACAAAAAGGATTGTGATTGGAGAAAGATAATATTTAATAAACATAAACTAACATAAAGCTTTATGTTAGTTTAGATTTAAATAGCTAGCGCCACCTAGGAAAGAAATCTGAACAGATTAACTGACATTAGTAAACTTATCTCACAGATAAGTTTGCTTGGAATTTTACCTTCATAATATATGTATAGTTTATAGTATGTATTGAAAACAGATATTGATAATAGGGTATAATATACTTGTAAATAGTTGATTGTTATGAAATGAATAAATAGTCATGCCAAAATTTATTTGCTCATAAAGTCTAAATAAAACTTGGACACTACGTACATAAATCTATTATGTTTTGATGTTTATATTTTTTGCATCTACACAAAACATGACATAAACTAGTTTTATATAAACATTTATAAACAAGCATAACATTATAGCTACTAGAAATGAATAGAGATTTGTTGGAAATAAAAAGATGTAAAAATTTAAATGATTAAATATAATAACATATGCAAATGATTATAATGGTTCTTCAGATTCAGTTGGCTCACATATTATGGTGGGCAAAAGTATTTTTCTAAGATTATTTATTAATAAAGCTATAATTATATTCATTGGATTTTTTGTCAAAAGGAATAGGTAAATTAGTTGTTGGATGAAATTGTTGATGAGTTGTTATTTCACTTATACTTCTCACCAACTTAAATTTAACCATTAAAAAGAGGTCGTCCTCCTCTTCTTGTTGTTTGTTTTTTTTACATTAGAGTTTTTAGTATTTAGAAAACGTCCTCAGCCTGATCATATAAATCTACATCTTCCCCTTGATACAGCTATTCAACGTTATATCCACAGACCTTTTAACATGCCCAAGACAATTATAATACAGAAATTTAAATTACCATAAATATCTTTCTTCAATCCTGACCCCCCAGGGGGAGTGTAGTGGTCGACGTGATGTCGTGTATTGTCCGTCTCCAGAGATCTGTCTCTGGTCATTTCTTTTAATTCATGCATAGGTCTTTGGCATATTCCTGTAATTTGATCTATCCATCTTGTTGGGGATCTTCCTCGTGATCTTCGGCCTTCTACCTTTCCTTGTATTATAAGTTTTTCCATGTTTTTTGTGTTTGCTCTCATAACATGCCCAAAATAGTTTAATTGTTGGAGATGGACTTTACTAGAGAGTCGTTGGCTAACTTTTAGCTCTCTT